TTAATAGAGATTGATACAAAATATTTTTTTGTTTCGAAGTTGAAATCAAGGCATATTCACTGCCAAAAATCAGTTAAAAGTTTTCTATATTATTCGTTGTTTCTTATTTTATTCAAAGTTTTTGGTCAAATTTTAATAACGTCTCTGTTACATAATACTACAAAATTCGAATCGTTCCGAACACAATTCCTAATACATAGATCTACTATCTACTTTAGATAGACGTCGAAAAATTCCCAACTTGATCACACTCGGTTGTAATAGGCCGATTAATTTTTCATAAGTTAATCGAAGCAATTATTATAGTTTGGAAGTCTAGAATTTACAACTGCAAGGCATTATCTGATTCGAAATATTTTATAAGTAGTGCTTAATAAAAAGCGTGAACGATAATTTCAACATACAGACTATCATCTGATAAAAAAAGTAATCGGCATTTTCGACAGTCCGGCGGTAGCTTCCGTAACATGAATTTTATACTCAGCATATGGAGTGTTTGTGGTGTTCAGTCAATTGAACACAAAAAATATAAAGTTTTATTATTTTTACCATTGGCCGTCACTTTTGCTATGCCGATTGGACTACTTTCAACATACTTTCTTACACCACCACGTAATTATCGTGAAAACATTTCAGTGTTTCTAAACTCTTTTAACTTGTTTTTATTTCTGGTTTTCCAAATAATACGTTTCAAAAAATCAAAACCATTAAATGACGTTGTAGAAGAAATCACCTCGAAAATGGGAAATCATGATTTGAAGCGACTAAAAATTTTTGCTAATGTGATTGCTATTGTTAAATTAATGCCATTCTTTGATCCATTTCTTACATTAGACTGGCCTTCTGTTGTCCACCTTCTTTTCGCCATTTGTTCATTTTTAATTGGATTTGTTTTCTTGATAAACGATCTGACTCTACTAGTTTTACTAATTTGCTTAGAAAATCAGTTAGACGACTTAAACAGGAAAATCGAAAATGACAAACCAATTAAGCACTTTCTGCTATACCTAACTGACTACGAAAGTATAAACGGGTCGTACGAGATGCTACAGAAGGTTTTCGGATCATTATTACTGTTGTCAATTATATATGGAATTGTTAATTTGACTTATTGTTTATATATTGCATGTGTGAGTTTTACTGCTTCGGTTCCAATGCGAAGTCCAACATACATATTCTACATTTCTTTAAATATTATTAAACTGTTTTTCTTATCATGGAGATGTCAACTACTCAACAAAAAGGTAAAAAAACAGAAATGGAAACGGTTGAAGTAAGTACGCACAAAATTATTAAAAATCGATTTTTAGAGCAAACAACTGGCTATCAGTTATTATAAGAGGCGTATCGAGGAAAATAGAAGAAGAGATGTACGAGAAGTAAGTTTTTTTTTTATCTTGATTTAAATTTATATATAAGTTAGTAACAAATCAATTAATTGTCCTACTCTCCTACTGCTATTACGTTTAAAGGGTCGGTTATATACGTTTTCCCGAAACTATTGAACTGTTATTTCTGTGAACATTGAAAATTGCTGTATCGACAGGAAGCCATTTGATGATGAATCAATTTTCAATAGCTCATGCGAAACTTATATGCATTTGTTTCTAATCAAGTTAAAAATAAAAGTTCTTAGATTCAAATAAACTGCAATCTCCTACAATCTGAAATCACATACTTTGAACGCAATCATGTCCGCGAATACCTGAAAAGTGTTATTTTTCTCCTTTTTTAGTTTTAATTATGTACATTCAGCTTTAGTCTTACAATTGGTCATTAATACCTACTTATTAATGCGATACTAATTTGTGTTCATCGCCTAAACCTAAACTAATCATGAATGTCTTTTAGAATTAAGTAAATGATGCGTAGAAAACAGTAGATCGGCTACAAATTTTTACCACACACTCCTTTATGGTCTAAAAGGATTTTTGGCGACTTTTAATTAAAAAAATCCTTTTTTTCCGTGACGGTAGTTTAGAAAGAACAGATGAACCTTTACATTGGCATCAATTTATTACCGGATAATGTTCATTAACTCCCCAGGAAGTGTAGTAATAAAATGTAGGAAGTGGAGAACTGATATCAACCCTAACCGAACCTAACCTGACATAAGTTAAGTTAGTTTGTGTTACGTTACGTTAGGGAGCGCAGGTTAGGTTAAGATAGATAACAATGTCCCCTTTCGAAACTCCGACCTAAATTTATATCGATAACTCCTTATAACATAAACTGCTTCTTTAATTTTACTAACTCTTTGGAGTTCTTTTCGTTCTTTACATAACGAAAATTCTCTGCAGGTAAAGAAAGGATACCATTGAATCTTTCAGTTTCGTTATAGGGAGTTTACAAGTTCTTCAGAGTTTTATACTCTCATTGATTTAATGCCAATTTTAATTGTTCTTCTGTTTTAGATTACCCTTTATTGCCACACACAGTTTCAAGCACCACTTCAATTTTCTGTATGTGGAATTTTCATCATGAATTCCCAATTTTTCTTACATGTAAGGCACTCATATACGTACATATATGTTTATGCATTACAAGAATTAATTGTACTATTTTGCAGATTATCGCGCTTATCTTGTCTTACATGGTGGTGCTCTTAAATTTTCAGGAAATGAATTGGTAAAAGAATAAAATCAGTAAATCAACATAAGGAAAATACATTTTTAACTTAATAATTGTTATTATTAAGACGATGCATTAAAGTCTGATAGTTTGATGTCTAATTAATAGTTTTATGTAGGTACATGTTGTAATAAAGTGTCGTACTCAGTTTAAAATGGCGTTCATTACAAATTTATATATGTACGTGTGTTGATTTTGAATAAAACTAGAAAATAACAATCGTTTAATTTTTATAAAAAACCTGCACCTCGAAAGTTTAAATATGACAATGTTGATAGTTACTGTTATTACCGGGACGTCGTGCATTATAAATTGGTTACTCTTTGGTTCCCACCCACCTAGTAAATGGAATCTTTAATATATTTAATTTAAGATCACATCACTCTGGTACTCTTCCGGATTTAGCACGGGAGAAGAGATGAATCCTCTATTATTAAAATACTTCTTGACTATTCGTCAGTTTTCACAAAAGAATAAATAATTACCACCAACCACCCGCAATAATCCCCCGATTTAACTCCGTGGGACTTTTTCCTGTATAGATGACCGTTAAGAATACGTAATTTCCCTAATATGCCTCTATTATAGTCCAGTGTACGACGATAACCTTAAGAAGTTATCTATTAAACTTATCTCACCCTTCTCTATGTAAGTTATATGCTTCTAATGTGTGCTTTTTGTTTTTAGGGGTTGAAAACGACCCGACAATAAATTGAATGTAGTAAATTTAAGCAATACTTTGATAAGATAATAATTTAAAATGTACAATAACCTTTCTTTCATTTACGGGTGTNAAAACTAAGTGTCTCCAGTATTATTTACAAACGTTTATAATCATAATCCCATAATCAAATCAAAAATCACGAGTACAGTAATGTTTGCTAGCCAATTGAATGTTTATCACACCTTTAGACTTAGCATTGAAATTTTCCCATGCAACACCTTATATTAACTAAAATCCTGGATTAAAAAAGAAACTGATATTTCCTGTTTGTTAAGAATTTCTCTTAAGACAGGACGTTTTCTTCTTAAGTTATTTATGTAAGTAAAATAATAATGTTAAACAAATAACGAATACTTGCATTGACGAATTTTTACGATTAAGGTAGTCCGGCCGAAATTTCATTTCGGATGAAGTAGCAATAAATATATTAATGTTAATGCATAGCTAAAACCTGAAATATGAAATTTTTACTATAAATACGTATTAAATTCATTGACGACCACCTAAAACTAATGTTTCTATCTCTGGGGATCCCGAGATAAAAATGTTCAGTCTCTCAGAGTCTCTGAGAGCGAGACTCGAGTCTCCGTCTCTCATCGAGTCTCTATAGTGTCGCTGAGAAAGACTTTCAAAAAAACTGTTTACAGTCTCTGAACGAGAGACTCGAGTCGCTCATAGAGAGATCCTCATTTCGTATCCAGTCTCTGAACGAGCGATTCGAATCTCTGAACGAGAGACTCGAGTCGCTCATAGAGAGATCCTCATTTCGTATCCAGTCTCTGAACGACAGACTCGAAATCTCTGAACGAGAGACTCGAATATCTGAATGAGAGCTTCGAATCTCTCAATAAGTGGTGTCTCGATAAACATGGTTAAAATTTTGAACATATTTTAGAGATCCCAGTCTTTCTACGAGAGACTCGAGTCTTTCAATTTTTCAGTTTTATTCATTCAGTCTCTCTGTGAGAATCTCGAATCTCGAATCTCTGAATTAAAAATTTTATCCTTCGAGTCTCTCATACAGAGACTGTGAGAGATCCATAAAAACACCTAAGGAATAACTGAGAGACTGAAAGACTGTGAGAAACGCTCTGAGAGATCCTGAAAGACTGTGAAAGACTGGAGAGAGACTGAAAATATTTGTCTAGGGGAACAGTATCTTTCTTCTGAATAAAAGGTACCCTAATCCTTTTTTGTGCCCCTGACAATGTGTGTACGAAATTTTATGTACGAAATAGTAATAAACAAACATACTCACATTGACATTTATAATAATAGTAAGGATTATTTAATTACGTCATTTTATTTTTATATTAATCTGATCTATTTCTAGTCGATGTATAGTGAGTAACTGTTTAGATCAAGTTAAAGTAATTAGTATGCAATAAAACTTTTTGTAAATACTAATATTCGGTTAACATTTTATTTTAAGAATTTTTAGGTTTTCTTTGAAATATTATTTGGAGATATAGACTATTTTATTTTATATATTTTCATGTAGTCATTGTTTTTATTATTCCACAACTCGGTCGGAGTACCTTAATTTACAATGTTGAAAAAAATCACAAAAATTAACAATTTTATACTTAATTCTTCCACGATAAAAAGTTAAAAAGCAAATTTATCGTTTAAATTCATCTTACAGCGCACAAGTTTAAAGGAAACGGGTATTTATAAATAAAATAGCAGTATTAACTGTTACTGCATGCACTTGTTGTGTGTTTTATGTTTACCTAAATAAGTTTCGTTGTAATCGGCAAGAAAAATGCTTTTGTTTTTGTGGGTGGTGTAATCTAACCGATTCAGTACGCATCGCTTGATAGGTCAATCAAATTTTATGAATCTAATAAAAGATTTAATGACATTATTGACAGCATTTTAATAGTAATTATTCATATAAACGACGTATGTAAATTCGGCTAATTTAATGGCATTTGGTATAAAAATGTTGAACCAAAATTAACAATTTGAAAGGACTAAATAGTAAACAAATTGATTGGCCTAGGAACAGCTTTTCGCTTCCACATTGATTGCATGCATATAAAATACAATACGCACCAAAATTAACACTCAACTAGAAAAGTGGCATTAATTCAAAATTAATTTTTTCGCAAACCACTAAAGCGATTTATACGAATTTTTTAATACATCATTTATTGTGACAATTGAAGAACATGGGCAACAGTAAGTAAGTTTAACTAATCTTTTAACAAAACATTTCAAACGTTTAAAATAGCCTCACCATTCACCCGCAGGTTTATGATAGTCCGGCAAGTTCAAACTTGCAGTAATCCCATAATTGATTTATTGCTTTATTTTACGTCTTCAAGGATTATTTCGCTCTTACATTTCGTATTATTCTTTTTCTCTGAGTTTACCGTAAACCTAAAATGCTTTCCCCTGAGCAGGGATCGGCAACCTGCGGCTCGCGAGCCAAATGCGGCTCTTTGGATGTGAAGCTGCGGCTTTTTAGTTGCATACGAAAAGATTATTTATTTTATCAAAAGAAAAAAACATTTAAAAACCGTTCTGAATTGATTAATGAGGATTAGGCACTGATTCTATCTCTCAACCACTTGCACTCGCTGTTCACCGCATCCCAATAGTCTTCCAGATTGTTACAGTGAGGTGAAGAAGTTGGCATGTGGAGTGCTGACTATCTTCAGATCGACATATTCGTGCGAGCCCTTGCATCAATATAATTAAAATTAAAGTAAGAAACCAACTAATAAATGAAAATTTAGAGTCGTGTTTGAAACTTAAAACAACAGGTTATGAGCCAAAATCCAAACTTTCTAAAATCATGCAAAGCCAACACTCGCATTGAATTTGTTTGCTCAAATGTATGTTATTATTCTTTTTTTTATTTTAACTACAAGTTACATTGTTTAGTAAAGTCTAAATTTTGTACTTGAATAACCATGCAAAGTCATTGCTCCCATTGAATTTGTTTGCTCAATTATTTGTTATTGAAATACAAGTTAGTGTTGTATATAAATAGATATTTTTTCTTATGAGTAAATGAAATGTGGTGTTATAGGCGGATAATGAGGATATCGTGGGTAGAAAAGGTTAGAAATGAAGAGGTATTAGAAAGAATAGGAGAACAGAGGACTCTATGGAAGTCAATAAAAAATAGGCG